CCACGAATCGTTCAGAATGTCTGATCCGCTGCCATACGACTACCCTCCACCCCCCCCCCCTCTCTCTCTATTTCCTTCTCTTACGCCTTTACCGTCGCCTGCTCCTGGCCACCCCCAAGCTTTGCAACATCCCCCTTAACCTGCGGCCCAACAGCATCGACAAGAGCAAACATCTCCCTCACATCCCTCTTGAACACTTTAGCCGGCGCCACCAGAATGTCCTCCACGGGCGCCGCCTCGAGGTCCTGCAGCGTAGCGCGCATCCACCCGACCACGGCAGCGACCTGTCGCAGGTCGGCATCCTCGCGGCTCTTGAACAGGTTCCGCCACACGGCGGCGCCGAGGACCTTATCGTCCTTGACGACGCCCTCGTCGTAGGCGGCGATGAGGCCGCGCCACTGGACAAAGATTTCCTTGAGGTAGCGCTGGCGGAGGGCGGACGAGGTCATGCCGTGGTTGAGGTGCATCATGCGCTCGCAGTCGAAGAAGAACTGGTCGATGAACTGGTGCTGCAGGTTGCGGGAGCTGTCGCGGTCGAGGCAGCGCAGGCGGGCGAGGACGAGGTACATGTGCAGCATCGTGGCTTGGGACCAGGAGCTGAAACCCGGTTGGAGGTCGAGGACTGTTAATGGATGTGTCAGTATCACTGCGACTACAACTCAAACATGGGAGGGATGGGAGGCAGAAAGGAAATAGTTAAAACGCACATTGCAACCACGGCCCAATGGGATCTCCAACCTCCTCCCCCTCGGCCGTCATGCGCACCATATCCTTGGCGCGCTCCTGCTCCGAGATCTTGTACAGCGCCGGCGACGAACAGATCTTGTATAGCGCCTCGAGGCGGGAGGTGGTCAGGGTCGCGGCCATGGTCTTTGGCGCGGCGGCCATCATGCCCGACGCAATGGCCTGCTTGAGTCCGCCGGACGACGGCGCCGCGTCCCGCCGCGTCGCCGTCTGGCTGAAGTGCCTCCTTCCCATGGTGGTAGTCGCGGCTGGGCCGCCGGTCTTGGTTGTCGTCAGTGCCGCCGCTCGGCGCGCCGTCGCGGCGATGGATGTCTGCTGGGACGGCGATGCGGACGCCAGGTCGGCGGTGGCGCGTAGGCTCCGGGCTAGGAGTCTTGCCTGGTATCGGCAGCTTTGGCAGGCCATCTTGAAGGTTATTGCTGATTCGGGATATCAGGGATATCAGAGAAAGGACCGGGTTCCGTGTCTTATCTCGGAATGTCGCGTGGGTGATGGGTGTAAAGGGGGTCGTCGATTGATTCGAAAGTGTATGCGGTCGATCGAGGTCTCGTGAGCCGGAGAATCGGGGTATTGGACGTTGACCAGCAGCTTGGGCCCAGAAACGCGGAGCTCACAAAAAGTCTGGACGTCATCCAAAAAAAGTTCATGAACACATCGAATTGGAAATTTCGAGCTAGCACATGCCAGGCCGGCGGAACTTCGGGCCATGTCCACCACGCCTGCGTACCGTGCTTCTCTCGAAGACTAGACACTGTAGGCAAACACCATTCAGCTTCTTTGGATTGACAATGCAACGACGCTCAATTACCTTGACTTCGATCTCGGCGTTTTGCATGCTGTAGTTTAGAAACAGAAATCGGCTACTTTTCTTCCCCCCAAGGTGTCGTCGAACTTCATGGACGGCCCATAAAGCGCACTTTCTCACAATGAGCCTTATTCAAGGCTCGTTACTTTGCACCTAAAGTCATTTAGAGCCTTGGGAACGCTCATATCTGATGTTAAAGCAGAGATTAAGCTCGTAGTGGCCGCGTACGTATGTCGGCAATTCTATCTCCTACAATTCTCGTAACCAATCATACATCGAGTCTTACAATGCGAAGCTTTCCATAAAGCCTCTCTTATGGTGTGCCCAAAGTCTGAGTCTAAGCCAGAGCCAATTTAGACATTCCGCGGGCGCAGCCGTCATCGCATGGTTATTCTGATTCTATCGGCACGGCTGTCCTCATTTAACGCACTTTGGAAAAAACCAGCGAGGCATTCGTCCCGCCAAAGCCAAAGCTGTTGGAAATAGCAACGTTAACCTGTTTCGCTTGTGCCTCGAGGGGTACCATATTCATGGATCCCCCGACATTTGGATTCTCGAGGTTCAGCGTAGGCGGCACGATATCCTTTTGATCAAGAGTCAGAGGAAAACATTCGATTGGGCAGAAAAAGACCAAAAAAGTCTGGGGAAGATAAGGTTCTGGTTTCAGAAACCAAATAGCCGCGACTCACCTCTGCAACCGATAGCACGGCGAACAGGGCCTCGATGGCGCCAGCCGCCCCTAGCAGATGGCCAACGGCACCTTTGGTGCTGCTCACAGTCACCTGCGACTCGTCCGCGTAACCCTCCTCGCCTGTCATGATGCTTCGTATCGCGGAAGCTTCTGCCGCATCGCCAACCTGTGTCCCTGTTGCATGCGCGTTGATGTAGCTCACCTCGGCCGGTCGAACTTCCGCGTTCTTCAGAGCAAGCTTCATGGCGCGGAATGCTCCGTGTCCGTCTTCCCGCGGGGCCGTCATGTGATGCGCGTCGCCGCTACACCCGTAGCCCCTCACCTCCGCGTAGATGTTGGCTCCGCGGGCCTTGGCGTGCTCGAGTTCCTCCAGGACAAGGACTGCCGACCCCTCCGAAACGACGAAACCATTTCGGTCGCGGTCGAAGGGACGACAGCTGGCGTGGGGGTGGTGGTTGTAAGCTGTGGAGAGGGACCTTGCCCTCCCGAAACCAGCAAAGGTCAGGGGATGGATGCAGGATTCCGTTCCGCCGGCAACCATGACGTCGGCATCACCAAAAGCAATGAATCGCATCGCATCTCCAATGGAATGAGCACCCGTTGTACAGGCGGTTGTGACGGAATGGTTGGGGCCTTGCAATCCGTACTTCATTGAGATATGGCCGGCGGCCAAGTTGATGAGAATCTTGGGAACGAAGAGTGGTGAAACCTTCTTGTAGCCCTACCAGAACAGACTTTAGCTTGGCTTCGCTTGTCGATCACTGCAGCGAGATCTCACTTGTTGGTTGAAGGCCAAGCTCGTCTCGTAAATCTCCTCGAGATTTCCTATACCGCTGCCAAGACACACGCCCGTGGCCTCCTTGTCCTCTTGGCTCTGCGGATTCCACCCGGCATCTTTCATTGCCATGTCGGCGCATGCTACGGCGTACTGGGCAAACTTGGACATGCGACGTTGTTCCGTGGCGTCCAGCCAGTCACCCGGCCGCCACTGATCGGGACCTGAGCCATGACTGGGGACTACGCCAGCAACTGTGCTCGTCAGGTCTTTCCAGCGGCTTCGCGGCCCAAAGTCAGCCACACTGGTGATGGCAGATTCTCCAGCCAACAGACGTTTCCACGTGGTACGCACGCCAACACCGAAGGGCGAAATGGCGCCGAGCCCTGTCACGACAACTCGTCGCATGACTCTTGTGCCATAGCCAGGGTCAATATCTGTGTGTCGTTTTGAACTACAGACGCACCGACATGTAAATGGGGGGAATAAGGTAGCAAACGACAAAGTGGAAAGGGCGGGGATGAAAAGGGGAGAGGCTGCGCTGGGGCGATGTGTCTATCGCAGGTAGGGATGATGGTGATTTGGTACGGTAGGGTCCTCCGTGTCAATGGCTAAGCCGGCAGCAATGGTGAAGGACGGTTGTGCGGTCTGTAGGACAGGTGAAGTCGGAACAATGTTACGGATAGGTTAGTAGAGATGTAGGAAAAACCGCGGTCGGGTCGCTTCTGCTGCGCCGCACAGATGCAGTTTAGCGCGTTCTGGATGGAAGAGTACGTACTCGACACTCGCTAAGGTGAGGTGTCGAAAAGTGCAGATTGTCGACCTGTCGCTGCAGGGGCTGCATGCAGACACTGTGCTGTCAGAGGCTGTCAAAGCGAACAATGTACAGCTAAAAAGGGGGCTTTTTGGTGCTGAGGCCACAGTGTCGGGATCTCAGTAGCGTAAGGTATGGTACCTTATCTTGAGTTCCATTGACCCCCTTTTGGGCGAAATGCCCTGGGCCTAAATGGCGGCGGGGGACAAGTGCAGCGGGAAGCGGGGGACACTAACGTCGCCTCAATGGGGGTTTTGGGTCTGGAATTCTGGATTCAGCCTCTTAGGTGTCAGATGATTGGCTGGAACCGGGGACCTTGGCCTCTGCGTCGGAAACGCAACGCAACGCTGCGCAACGACACACGTTGCGACTGGCGCATGTGCTCTCACTCTCACTCACTCTTTCTTTCCCATCTTTCTCTTGACGTACAGTAGTCTCCCACAAGCCGACGCTGCTTCCATGTAAAAGAAGCTTTTCTTAACTTGCTTCTTTATTGCAGCCTCATGAGACTGGGAGGTGACATCCTCTACCGCACCATCGGATCATCCTGCTCAACCTCACTCCAGGAGGTGAACTAGTCCAGCCATTCAAAGATCGCCAATCCCTGGAAGACGACATCTCATCTCACCAACCGTTCCATTGAACCACGTTTCAGACATCGACGTCTTCCCGGCATTCCAAATCGTTATCATCGCCAGGTTGAGCAGCCAAGAGAAACAAACGAGCCCGCCAGGAACACAGGAACACACACGAACAGAGGGCACACTTGGAAGCTTGGCCATCCCGTCTTGCAGGGTCTCCCATCGCATTTCGGCATCTGCAAAACTCAACGTCCGCCTTCATCAAGTCCATCCCCGCAAACTTGCGGCTCTGTATCCGGGCCTCGAGTCGCCACACCACACTGCATCTGTGCTGAGTTGTGCCGCAGCTTGGTTTCAGCGTCGCATTTGTTTCCCTTCTTATCATCAATGACCACTCGTCCTATGAGAACTCTGCAACCACTCCGATCCCAATCTTCTTGTCCGAGCAGTGTCACCAGTCGGGAAACTCGCCTTCCTTGAGACTAGCCCCCATTCATGCCTTTGCCCTCGTCTTTCCCTCGACTTCTCTGGCCGTCCGATCATCCCACAGCATCACACCCCTCCACCATTATTCGCTCCAGTCATCGCCCTCACTCACCCTCGCCATCCTTTAGTCTGATCCCAGTCTGCGGATCGCCCGTCCTTTCTTGCCGAGCATCACCCTGTTTCCTGAGAGCACGGGGTCGGCCCTCCTGCGTACCAGGCACTACTAAGCACCTGCGAGGTTGATTCATTCGAGTCCCAGGTCCAATCACGCCACACTCACTGTAGGCCTCGAAAGAGACTCTGTACATACCAGAGGCTTATCGAGTACAACCAGAGGCTCATTTTTAGCCTTTGCTTCATGTTGGTCTGGGATCGGCGCTCGTAGCTCGTACCTCTGCGGGTTCCCGTCTCCCGCCTCTCACACACACACTCTCTCTCCTAACGCCATCCGCCCAGACACTTTAGACTCTCCCCCCTATATAGAAACCCACTGCCTCCTCCTGCTTTTGGACGTTTTGACCCTGTCGTCGATGATTGTGCTCCCACACTCCTGGGAATACTTTCAACATGCCCCAACCATCTAATGGCAAGTCGTCTGGTACGGCTTCAGGACCCATGATGGCGGACAACGATCGCGGGCTCGATACCAAAGCGGAGGTGGAGGTCAGTGGGCGCGAGATCAATCCCGCCGACTCTACCACCTCAAGATTCTCAGACCGTGACCCGGTCGAGGACTTGAAAGAGAGGCTCTCGCAATGGGGTGAGTCAAGTGTCTATCACGGCTATGATGATGAAGATGAGCAAGGGTCCGAACATGAACTTCTCTTAGATCCGAATCTGCCCGAAGAGTACGAGACGAGAATTCGTAACGCGGCATCGACGCCAATCGAAGAGGTCGATGATGAGTTGGCTATGAAGAGGGAGGAGGAGGAGGACTCACCGTATCCCGAAGTACGCGCAGCCGTTCGCAACTACGACGAAGATATGCCCTGCAACACCATCCGAGCCTGGACTATCGGTCTCATGTTGGTCACTGTTGGTGCCTCAATGAACACCTTGTTCTCACTACGACAGCCTTCCATCGGTCTTGGTCCTCTAATTGCGCAGATTATTGCATGGCCTATCGGTCAGGGTTGGGCCAAGGTGATGCCTACGAAGCAGTTCAAGACCTTTGGCATCAAGTGGAGCTTGAACCCGGGACCGTTCAACATCAAGGAGCACTCCATCATTGTCGTGATGGCTGGTGTCTCCTTTTCGGTTGCATACGCTACCGACATTATCCTGGCCCAGCTGGTGTTTTACAAGCAAGACTTTGGCATCGTCTTTCAACTGCTTCTCACCATTTCCACTCAGTCCTTGGGTTACGGAATTGCCGGCATCATGCGAAAGTTCCTCGGTGCGTACTCGTAAAGAAACTTCAGATTTAGGCTCGCTAACTTTATTGTCAGTCTATCCGGCTGCTATGATCTGGCCCGGAAACTTGGTCTCCGTCACTTTGATGAATGCCATGTACGAGACGAATGACAGGCCCGATCCCACTTTCATTGGTGGCAGCATGCCTCGATACAAGTGGTTCGGTATCATTGTTCTTGGCTCATTCTGCTACTATTGGATCCCCGGCTTCCTCGCGCAATTCCTTAGTATCATGGCATTCGCCACCTGGATTGCCCCGAACAATGTTATCATCAACCAGCTATTTGGTGGAACGAGTGGTCTGTCACTTCTGCCGTTGACTCTCGACTGGACTCAGATTTCCGGATTCGTTGGGTCCCCGCTCATTCCCCCATGGCACGCCATTGCCAACACCCTCATCGGTGTTGTTACCTTCTTCATCATCGGCTGCTCCGTCTTCCACTACAGCGGTGTGTGGTACGCTCAGTTCCTGCCCATGAGCGACTCGGGCACGTACGACAACACGGGTAACCCGTACAACACGTCTCGCATCCTTACTCCTCAGCTTACACTGAACGAGGAGGCGTACAAGAACTATTCACCGCTGTTCATCAGCACCACGTTCGCCATGTCGTACGGTCTGTCATTCGCTGCCATCGCTTCTTTGATCGTCTACACCTATCTGCACAACGGAAAGCAGATTTGGGCCCAGTACAGGAACAGCAACAAGGAGCAGCCCGATATCCACATGAAGCTCATGAGGAAGTACAAGGAGGCGCCGACTTGGTGGTACATGGGCCTCTTCGTGATCGTAAGTAACTTTGCTGGATTTTGTGGTCCGTCATCATGCACTAACACGCGTGCAGATGCTTGGTCTAGGTTTCGTGACCGTTCTGTACTACCCGACCAACCTGACCTGGTGGGCCTTCCTTTTGGCGGTGGCCATTTCGTTCGGCTTCTCGCTGCCCATTGGCATTATTCAGGCCGTCACGAACAACCAGATTGGTCTGAATGTGTTGACGGAGTTCATCTACGGCTACATCCAACCTGGGCGACCTCTCGCACTCATGATGTGAGTTACACTGTGTTCTAATCGACTTTCATCGACTCGTTTTGTGCTGACAAGTTACACAGCTTCAAGACTTTTGGCTACATCACCATGTCCCAGTCCCTCAGCTTCGTCTCTGACTTGAAGTTTGGCCACTACATGAAGATCCCGCCAAGAACCATGTTCATGTGCCAAGTCGTCGCAACCACCTTCTCCTGCTTCATCCAGATCGCCGTGCTCAACGCCGCGTTGAAGAACATCCCCGATGTCTGCACGCCGCACCAGGAGAACAAGTTCTCTTGCCCGGGCGGCCGCGTCTTCTTTGCCGGTACGTCGTCCCTACCCCTCAACCCACTCCCTCCCGTATCACAAAACTAACAGCCCCCGTCCACAGCATCCGTAATTTGGGGTCTCATCGGTCCCGCCCGCATGTTCTCCCCGGGCCAAGTCTACTCAGGCCTCTTCATCTTCTTCGGCCTCGGCGCCATCCTCCCCGTAATCTTCTACTTCGCCGCTCTCAAGTGGCCCAAGTCTCCCGTCAAGTACCTCATGGCGCCCCTCATCTTTGGCGGTGCCGGCGCCATCCCTCCCGCGACGCCCCTCAACTACCTCTCCTGGGGCATCGTCGGCTACGTCTTCCAGCACCACATTCGCAAGAAGCATTTTGGCTGGTGGTCGCGCCTCAACTACCTCACCTCGTCGGGTCTCGACCTCGGCCTGGCGCTCGCCACGCTCGTCATCTTCTTGGCTTTCACGCTTAACAAGATTGAGCCGCCTAAATGGTGGGGTAACGATATCGTGACTGCAACGATGGACGCTCAGGGCACGGCTATCCAGGCGACGCCCGCGCCTGGAACAAAGTTTGGTCCGACAAGCTGGTGAGTATCGACAATAGCTTTCGGCGTCAAAATAGGTTTAAAATAGGGACTTGTATCACTAAAGAGCCGTAAAACACAGGGAACACTAGGAGAGAGACATGGAGATATGTCCCATGTTCCATGTTGCTCCTGCCTATTTGCCCCCAATTTTGTAAAGGGGGTTTACTCGGAAAGACCCAGTGGACATTGGATACGGATGATTAAATGGGTAGAAGGGCTGGTTACCACGAATATTAAGGATGGATTATTGTGTATACTCTCTATTTCACGCGAGTTAGTCTAATTTCTACTTTTCGCTTTACATAATGGATGGGCCAAAGATTCGTGCATGTTGCAAGAGACACGACACGTCCAAGCGTATGTACGTACATATGTTTCCTCTTGTGTCACGACACAAAGAGGGTGATGTAGGTTGTGAAAAGAGCACTTCGTGAGAGCACGCGTTCGGAATCATCAATGGCGTCGTCTTCCTGAGATAGACGTCACCCAAGGACACTTTCGATTTCAGAGATGGGTAAACGTCTTTCACCTAGTGAGTACACGGCTCAACACGGTCGTTTGGCGTCTTCACGAAGGTGAAGCTGTCTGTTTGACATTGACGTCGGCAAGCCTATCCCGCCAAAAATTGGCTAGATTTTCATCAAGTTCGGAGCGTCGCGATACGCCAGTGACACCTCGACATCCTTACGCCTGCGCCTCGGTACGCACATCGGTCAACGACTTCAGCCCGGGCTACGCCTCGACGCCACAAGACAGCCCAGGGGCACACGAAGGGACAGGCTATCGTTCAACTCGACGGCACCATGGACCATCATCACAGGACTAGTCCGCGCTATGAAAAAGGTACTTCATGATTTATTTCACTCGAGTCTCGGGCCCTAATGCAAGCTCGGCATTCCGAGCCCGAGAGTGGGAGAGAAACACGCAGATCTCACATCTAGGATCTCGGGGACCCGAAACCAACGACGTCGCAGCGGTAGTGGGCTGATAATGTGTTTACCGCACGCTCCTCCTCCTCCTCCTCCTCCTCCACCTTGGCATGGGGATCATGGATGGACAACCTGGGCAATAGAAACGGAGAAGGGAAAGAAAACAAGACGACTTTTGATGGGTGGGACCCGGGTACGAAATGTTCCAACGCGCGCGCGGCGGGTTATTTATTGGCGCTAACGATTCGGGGGTCTTGAGCCGCCGGGGCCGTTGGGTGGATCCCTTACGGGGTCGGCCGCGGTTCGGCGGGGCGGAGCGCGGGCAACACGCGCCTCGCAGGGACCCGACCTGGACGTCGTAGTGTGAGTGGGGGGGGGGAGACCAATTTTTTGTTTGCCGTTCCATTGACTCTCGAAAGTGGCACCGGTGGGTTGCTTTTTTGTCGGGGGCGAAAAGTGCCAGTGAGGATGGAGTCGCTTTGAAGTGGAGCTCGCTCTCTGTTTCGACTTTTGAGCGTTGTTTCCTATAAGCAGTTCATGTTTAAGTCTGGAACGGATTTCATCTGAAAGAGTGCGAGCATTGATTAGCAAAGCGGCATACAGGAAAACGGGATTCGCTGTCGTAAACGAGCTGTCAGTTTGGACTTTGTGTCGTGTTAATCAACGAGGCTCCTCAACAAGGGCAGAACTTCTTCCAAGCAGGACACAAATATCCGTACTTCAGCCGGAACCAGGGAAAAGCTTTTTTCTGCTTGCGGAGAGTCCGCGGTTAGCCACGCCCGGTCGAGTACGGATACGTCTTGGAGATTTCAAAAGTCTGATATATTGCCAAGAAAATGAACGGGATTACCAGTCCCCTCCCAAAATCCAATGCCGCAATACGAAATACCGGCCGAATGGGTGGATCCAGCTACAGCTGACATCGTCTTTTCGAATTGTCATTACGAATCGCCTGCAGGCTTGAGAGATGCCGGCCGGAGTGGGGGAGGAGGATGAGATTTCCATGGGCTTTTCAAAGTTCAAGCTTCTTGATGTGGGCTTTCGGCAACAGTAGCTTCTTC